AAATGGGGTCCTTCCGCATTAAAGGTAAAACACACTGGAAGTCAACATTTTCATTTAAGATCATCCTTTTGGACGAAAAGAAGTTCAATTTGGACGGTCCGGACGGAATTCGAAGCTATTGGCGCGACCTGCGGAAGGACCCCATTTACTTCAGCCGACGCAGTTTCGAAAGCGGTTCACTGATGGTGTGGGGGGCCTTCCGTAGTGGCCACAAACTCCATCTCGCATTCGTCTCATGTCGCATGGATTCGCGGGAGTACCAAAATGTTCTTCGAGAGCATCTACTGCCGTTTTTGTCGGGGGCGTCGCCTCCAGGAGGACACTTTCCAGCAGGATAACGCAGCAGTCCATGCCAGTGGATCCACCAGAACGTGGCTTCAGGACAACCACATTCGAGTTTTAACTGGCCGGCACGTAGTCCAGACCTCAGCCCTGTGGAGAATCTGTGAGGGATTGTGGTACGAAGGATTTAGGCCAACCATCGGCAGTTCGACAGCATGGAAGCATTGCGGGCGGCATTCTGGAGGCATGGAACGGCATCAGCAACGACATCACCACAAATTTGGTCGAGAGCATGCCACTTCATCTGCATCAAGTCGCTGTCAGACAATTAGCTTCGATAGATTATTAAATCTTGAACTAAAATATGTTGTTGTGAAGTGGACCTATAGTTTTGATACAGCCCCAAAAGAGGAAAAATTCCATTTAAAATTATTTTTGAACATACATGCATGGAAGCTTGGTTCTAGGGGTTATTTTTTATGCTGAATCCAGTGGAGTTAATGGGTATACTCAATAGCTTTTGCAATTTGCGGAATCGAAAAAATGGGGTGGACCTATACTTTCGTTACGCACTGTATCTCTCTTTCGCACAAAAATCTACATTTTTGCGCAGGATCATGTTCTCAACTGGCGTGCTGAGCGATCGCGTTCGATCCCTTTCCGGCTGCAATCCCAGGTTTCACCTATTTTCCTCATTTTAATTCTAAGTTCTAGGTTTATTTTTTCCTAGCTACCTATTACATTCCTATTTACCTGCAGTGTTAGGTTATTCCCAAATCCTATTCTGTTTTCAGCCTTTCGTAAGTTATTCAGCGTGTAGAGAGCATTTTTACCACCAATACTTCTCAATGATTTCCGCTAAGTAGGCCAAATGGTTCGGAACTCACATCTGTTTAGGTAGTCATCAAATCCTTCAGCTGAACCTACAAAAGCATCTTTATTGCTCAACAGTAGCTCCGCGTCAATTTCCAACAATCCACTAAAAACGGATTTGGATTTCAGCAAAACTCAGGCGAACTGATGCAAACGATACTGCAACAAAACAAAGACCCTACTATAAGAACAATGCTTTTTGCTCTCTCAGGAAAGATCTCTAGTGAGGTCTCAGCTTTAGTTGCTATGAAAGACGGTCAAGAAGTATAGTCGTCAGCGGCTTGCCAGAAGCGGATCCTAATCTACCTCATCAAGTCGTCAAATCGATTTGGAGTCAAAGATCACGGACCTATTTGACGTGATTAATCTAGAGTGCCGCACTTGCAAAGTCTATCGTATGGGAAATCAATTAGCGCTATAGTGCCCATAGACGGCAATATGGCGCACGATTGTGCGCTGTGGTGAAGCGCTAATTTTAACGATGGTGGGAGTAGTAAATTTGCGCTATAGTGCGCCTTCAGTGCACTATAACAATTCTGACATTTGGTACCTCGATAAAGGCTATTTTTACGGAGGAAATTCTAGAGGAGACCAGATCTAGTATATTCATACATCGCACCACCGGCTTTTCATGCATATCTATTTCGATCACCAGAAATTCTAGAAAAGGCAGGTTTTAATGTA